GTGTGTGTGTGTGTGTGTGTGTGTGTGTGTGTGTGTGTGTGTGTGTGTGTTTGTAGCAATCATCTCCCAAAGAAGTTTTTTTTCAAGAGAGGATTGTCATCAAAAGGCTCCCAAATCATGTATGCAAATAACAAATAAGAGAGGTTGGCTTCTTTAGCCAAGAACAAGCCAGCAGCCTTTCAAACTAACCTTGTAAGTGTTAAGGTGTTCTTCAAATTAATTAGATATAGGAGCTGTTTATATGAAACCATGAAATGCCTGTCTCCACTGACATTTTACTGGTAGGCACTGAATGTGTCTACAACCCAAAAATCCATCCACATGCATTCTAAGAACACTCTTTAAAATCAAGAATGTCTACCCTGTTGTTTTCAAGAGCAGTTAGCCAGATGGAGATATACCAAATACCACTGTCTTTTTAGTCCAATAGATATTGTGAGTGATTATTCTTTTACCTGAATAGGAGCTGGCCTGAGAGCAAAGAGCTCATTTCGAGCACCCTTTGTGTACCCATTCATATTTACAAGGATATGAATTCCATCTTGGTGGATGCGGTCAGCTGCTTTTCCATTACACGGTATCTATGGAATAGACAGTAAGAACTTGTAGAACCTTAGATTAATTCCATTTGTTTTAATGACATTAAACAGAATTCAGAGACCGAGATGGGAAAGTTGGGTACAGTGGCTCACTCTTGTAATCCCAGCACTTGGGAGGTAGAAGAAGATCAGGAGTAAAATACCAGCCTCAGGTACATGAGACCCTGTCTCAAACAAGCAAACAATAAAAAGGAGATGAGAAACACATCAATGAACTAAGTTAATGGAGACAACATAGGGTTTAACACCACTAAAATAACATCAAAGCATTACAGAAATAGAAAATAAAGGAAACAGAGTTTCCTTCTAAATTGAATGGATTAGTAACAGAGTTCAGAAGGAGCCAGTATTTGAAATGTGCCTTCAAAGATGAACAGGCCAAGCACATTGTTACAAGCCTGGAAGCTCTAAGCATTCAGGAAACTTGAGGCAAAATCAGGGATTTGCAACAAGCCAGAGCTAAATACTTAGACTCTGTCAAAAGAAAGAAAGCAAGATCACATAACAAAAAAAAAAAAAAAAAAAAAAAAAGACCAGAAGCTTGACATAATATAATCTCAATGGAAAATGTTATAAACAGAGGACTAGAGATGACTCTGTGAGTACAAGGGCCAGCTATGCTAGCAAGAGGACCTGAGTTTAGATTCCACCATCCATATCAAAAGCTAAGTGTGGCCACACATGTGCCCCTGTAACCTTAGGTCTGTGGAGGTTGGAGATAGGAGGATGAAGGATTTGCCAGCTCCAGCCAAAATAAGGCCCAAGAGTGTAAGAGCAAGGTCTCCACAGTTAGCTGGGCATGGTGGCACACACCTTTAATTCCACAATTTAGGAAGCAGAGGCAGGTAGATCTCTGTGAACTAGAAATCAGCCTTACCAGTCCACAGAGGAAGACAATGAAGCCAGTCCTTATAAGACCTGATAGACTAGGGTCAGATGGAAGGGGAGGAGGACCTCTCCTATTATTGGACTGGGGGAGGGGCAAAGGAGAAGAAGAGGGAAAGAGAGTGGGATTGAGAGGAATACAAAGTGAATAAACTCTAATTAATAAAATTTAAATTTAAATTAAAAAAAAAGATTGGTCTACACAGTGAGTTGTATTCCAGAACAGCCATGGCTATGTAGAGATACCCCGTCTCAAATAAACAAAAAACCCCAAAGATATCCAAAGTCCTACTCTGATCGTTATATGAACCTGCATGTGTACCCGCATGTGCATGTGTCACATATACCACATTCACATATACGTATGTACCATATGACGAAAATAGAAAAAAAAACTAGGGTGACATGTGCCTATATTCCTAGCACCTGAAGACCAGATTGACTACCTAGTCAATCTATCATAAAACAAAAACAAAAACAAAAACAAACAAACAAAAAAAAACAAAAAGGTAGCTGGGCGTAGTGGTACACACCTGTAATCCTAGCACTCAGGAGGCAGAGGCAGGCAGATCTCTGTGAGTTTGAAGCCAGCCTGTCTACAAAGAGAGTTCAGGACAGCCAAGGTTACACAGAGAAACCCTGTCATGGAAAAACAAAAACAAAAACAAACAAGCAAACAATGGGTGGCAGGCTTAGAGATGACTTGGTGGTCAGTAGCACTTGTTGTTCTTGCAGGACTATATGTAGAACTCAGCACTTGGTGGTTAATAACCATCTGTAACTCCAGTTCCAGCGAATTCAACTCCTTCTGACATCCAAAGCACCAAGCACATACATGATGTACACACGATTTACTAAACACATGCATTTAACACTCATACAAATAAATCAATCAAAAAAATTTAAGGCAGGGAGGAAGCATGGTGGTACATGCCTTCAGGATGAGCACTTGGAAGGCAGAAGGAGGTAAATGTCTATGTATGAGGCCAGCCTTGTCTACACAGAGTTCTAAGGCAACCATGGAATGGACACATGGTGAGCCTATAAATAAACAAAGATGAAACCATCTAGGGTGCTTCACATCTGTAATTCTGGCACTAAAAAGGCTGAGATCAAGGCTAGTGAGGCTACACTGGAGTTCACAGGCAGTTCTGGTTACATGGTTGAGGTTCTGCCTCAAAAAAAAAAAAAAAATCAAAGCTGGAAATGTAGCTCAGTTGGCAGAATGTTGGCCAAGTATGCACAAAGCCCTGGATTTAATGACCAGAATTGCATAAACTGCTCATGATTAAGGCCAGCCTGGGCCACTTTAAACACTGTCTCAAAAATAAAACCCAGAAAACCAGGCATATTTTTAAAGTAGTGACTATACTATAAAAGATACTAGTGTATAAACCTTATTAAATAACATGATTCTCACCAAAACTTCAATTACTTACTCAATTATTTATTTGTTATTGATTAGTTATTTTAAACAGAGTATTCCTATGTAGCTCTGGCTGGCATAGAACTGCTAAGCAGACCAGGCTGGCCTCAAACTCCCAGAGATCTGCCTAGTAGGACAAAAACTATGTGCCACTGTGCTTAGCCTTAAGTATTTTTGAGACAGGGTCTCTAGCTCAGGCAGAGCTTGAACTCTATGTAGCCAAGGATGACCTTCAACCCTGATCCTACTGTCTCTGCCTCCACCTCCAAAATTCTGAGATTATAGGTGTGAGGCACGGCACACAGTTTGTGCAGTGCTAGGAATCAGACCCAGGGTTTTGTGTATAATAGGGAAGCACTATACCAACTGAATTATGTCCTCAATCCAATGATTTATATTTATACATGTGTATTTACATGCAAATATACACATATTTATGTGTATTCATGTCTAAATGTATATTTATTTAATAGTAACCCATATGACTAATAGAACCTACAGGAAAATTCTATATATTTAGCAAATTTAATTCTCCCATAGGTTTCAACTTTAATTCATCATAAAATTTATAGAGAAAAGAATAGAGCCAAATACAGAAATAAAGACAACCAACCAGGTTGGGCACAGTGGCACACGTCTGTAATCCCAGCACTTAAAGGAGGCAGAGGAAGGCAGAGACTAATGTGAGTTCCAGGCCGGCCTGGTCTACAAAGTTAAGTCCAGGACAGCCAAGGCTACAGAGAATCCCTGTATCTAAAAACAAAACAAACAAACAAACAAACAAACAAACAAAAAAAAAACTAAAAGACACCAACCAGTAGTGCCATATGTCCACAATCTTAGACCTTAGAGAAGGTTAAATCAGGATTACCACAAGTTCAAAGCCAACCTGGTCTACATAGCTATGTACTGTCTCAACACTCCCTTGGGACTCCTGCAAAAGAATTACACACACACACACACACACGCAAACTCAGAAATAACACACACATGAAAACTCAGAAACAGATAAGTGGCTGCTGCTGCTGCTGCTTCTGCTTCTTTAATGAGATGGGACCTCACATAGCCTAGACTATCCTTAAACTAGCTGGTTAGCTAAGGCTGCTTTAAAAAAAAACAAGATGTATGTTCTTTAAACTATTTACCCTTCTTTTCTTCGTTTAGCATGTATTAAAAGTGTCCTCTGCCTCGAGTGCAAGCTCACTGTTTAGAATAGTTATACGGCAAACACAGTTATATATTTCTATTTTATGTGCTACTTCATCAAATGTCATGCCACTTATAAGTGTAAATGACCAAAGAAATAAGAACAAACTGCCCATATACAGTAGGTCCTCCTGTTTAATACCCATCATAAAAAACTACAAACTATCTTACACATGAGGCCCTTGGTTCAACTCCTCATACAAATAAACCCACTTTGTATCAATAGTTTTTTGTTTTCAAATTTGCTTGAAAATTTAAAACTAGAGAATTTAAGGTACTTGCTCATTTGCTGAACCTGAATTTGCTCCCAGGACCCATGTAACCACCTGTAACTCCAAGCCTTGGAGACCAGACACTCTCTTCTGACCTCCTAGGGCACCTGCCCTTATACATGCACATATGCATACACAAACACATACATATCATTAAATACACTTTTTTTTAAATGAAAAGGATCAGAGTTTTACATACCTGAGAAAGATCAATGAAATGATTTGCCTCTGCCATCACCTTCACTCGGAAGTTTGTACCATCATCTGGGCTCAAGGCATAGCAGAATACCTGAAAGGCAGGGCAGGGGTGGGGGTGGGGTGTACTTAATAACCTGACTCCAACTTCTCAAAAGACAGTGACCTTAACATTCAAAATGACAGAGGAAAGCTGCCAAAAACTATTCTTACCTCAAATTTATCAGGATTGTGCATTCCTGGAATAGACTGCATGAGGTGCGAAGTAGGGTGATTTCCAAAGTCAGAACTTACATATCCTACACGCAATCGTCCATCACTGAGCTTCAAGTCTTTTGGATGTTCATATGGTGGTTTATGAAGGACATTAATCTACCAACAGAATGCAATGCTCATTAGTAAATTCAAGTCATGTAAATTTTTACCAAAAAAAAACAAAACAAAAAAAAACTCAAAACAGAGATTGGTGATGAAGCTCAATGGGTAGTATGCTTTGCTAGCACATATAAAACCTGAAGGGTTCTGTCCCCAGAACTACAGAAAAACTAGGCATGATGGTGCCCTTCTTTAATCTCAATCCTCAGGAAGACAAGGCATATGGATCTGTAAGTTTGAGGCCAGCCTGGTCTACACACCAGGTTACTGACCAGCCAGTGTGACAGAGTGAAACAGAACAAACAACAAAAGTAAACGGGCATGTTGATGCACCTCTATGATCCCTGTAACTGGGAGGTGGAAGCATAAAAGAACAAGAGGTTCAAGGTGATGCACAGCTACACCTAGGATACATGAAACATGTTTCAAAACAAAACAAAACAAAAAAAAAAAAAAACCAAGAAATGAAGCTAGAAATCTATGAAAAAAAATTTGGACAGCAAACTTCATTTAATTCATGTGGCCAGTTTGATGCCATCTTTGCAGTTTAGATCAGCAGTTATGTGATGGTTGCACAATGTTCATGATTCATACCTAACCTGTTCACAGACATATAAAACAGCCTACACAATTCTCAAACTTCTAGGAATGAAAAAAAAAATGTGAATAGAGTATGATAAACCAAATGGTATTTTAGGGAATTCTACAGAGAAGTAATTTTGAAAGAAAAAAAAAAAGAAGAAATTTATATCTACCACTCCATTCCCTGGAGCAGATTCCAAACTCAATCAAATCATGTTCTAATTCTCAAAGTTGAATATACAATACCACATGCTCTATTTAAACACCCCATAGGGCTTTTATTTTTGTTGCTGTTGTCTTCAGTTTGCTTTTTAGATTTATTAGGTGGACAGGTTTTGCCTGTGTTTGGTTGAGGCAGGAGCTTGCTATGTAGCCCAGGCTGGCCTCAGTTCACCATCCTCTGACTCTTAAGTGTTGTGATTACAGAAGTACTAAGATTACAGCTTTGGACCACCATGTCTAGCCTAGATTTCCACCTTAAAGGAAAATCTTACCATTAGAAATGAAGGTCTCAGCCAGGTGTAGTGGCACATACTTGTAATCCCAGCACTAGGGGAGACAGAGGCAGACTGATCTCTGTGAGTTTGAGGCCAGCCTGTTTTACAAAGTGAGTCCATGACAGCCAAGGCTACATAGAGAAACCTTCACTCAGAAAAGAACAACAACAAAATATGATAGATAGATAGATAGATAGATAGATAGATAGATAGATAGATAGATATAGATAGACAGATAGACAAACAAACAAATAAATAAATAAATGAAATGGAGGTCTCTATCCTTTGGAGTGAAGAGAGTTCAGCTGACACAGTGAAGAGTGGCTTCTGAGGTAGCTAGGAAAGTTTCATTTCTCAACTTGGGTGAAGATATACATTTGATTTATATAAATGTTTTTATCTGCATTTTAGTTTATAACAAAAAGATTAAAACAAGGATTACCTTATCCAAGCAGAGATTCCCGTGCCTCTCTGCAATAGCCTTCCTGAAGCCATGGGAAAGAGGGTACAGCATACTATGATGAGGATGTACAGAAGGCAGCCTATTCTTCTCTAGCTGCTCAGCTACAATACTAACCAATTTCTTCATTCGCTCATCATAGTCTGTCCAATCACAGACAATCTAGAAGAAGCAAAAAAAATTTATCATCCAGAAAACTTACCTAAGGATTTTTTTTTACAAATAATATTTGAGCTCCTAAAATAGTATTAGATAACCTACTAAAAACATGGTCTTGCGGCTGGCTCAGTAATTAAAGGCCCTGTCAATGCCTGCTACCCATGACTCCTGAAAGCTGCTCTCCACTTAAACAAACAAAAACTGTCTCCAGCCAGGCTTGGATTATTATGGCATACAATAATACAGAAAGAAAATCATTGAAATCAAAGAAAATCACTGAAATTCTTTACCTGTAGGCAATGAGCTAAGTTACAGTATGCATCAGGAAAGTCGGGCTTAAGTTTCAGAGCTGTGCGGTAAGAAGCTATTGCTTCTGGGATATTCCCTGAATCCTGGAAAGAAAAAAAAAATCTTATAAGGAATTTCCTACAATGAAACTAAAATGTTAAAGTGGCCATGTTAGAATAAAGAGCAGTACCTTATGAATGGAAGCCAGATTGCTGTGTGCATCTGCAAAAGCAGGATTAATCTGAATGGCACGAGTGTAACACTGCAAGGCTCCCTGAACATCCTGCATCTCCTTTAGAGTGTTTCCCATATTAGAATAAGCATCAGCAAACGTAGGACTGATTCTGAAGAACACAAAAGTTTCATTATCTTATGTAAAATCTTTGTTGTTACTAAACCATTTGTGGATTTTGGCATGTTGTTTGGTGGTATAGTGCTTGCCTACCAAGCATGAGGCCTAGCTTGAATCCCCACCACCAGAAGGATGAGGCATCATTTTAGTAACTGTCAAATGCCAAACTTTTAATTATTAAATTATTATTATTAAATAAGAAATTATTAGATAATAATAGTACATTGTTTACTAGGTGGGGATCAGCAGTTAAAAGCTCTCACTGCTCCCAGCATCAATATCCAGCTGTACCCCTAGAGCACCCTCTTATCAATTTTGAAGGCATTTTATACACATATACACATAATTCAACATAAAATAAATCTTTTTTGTTTTGTTTTGTTTTGTTTCTGGAGACAGGGTTTCTTTGTGTACCCTTCACTGTCCTGGACTCACTTTACAGACCAGGCTGGCTCTCGAACTCAGAGATCCACGTGCCTCTGCCTCCCTGAGTGCTAGGATTACAGGTGTGCACAACTGCACCAGGCTTAAAATAATAATGACAATAATAAGCTGAATGTAGTGGATCATGCCTTTGATACTAGCATTTGGAAGGCAGAGGCAAGCAGATCTCTGTGAGTTCAAAGCCAGCCTGGTCTACAGAGCTAGGACAGCCCAAGGCTGTACAGAGAAATCCCACCTCGAAAACAAAACTATTTCAAGAGGCCAGTGAGATGGCTCAAGGCTATACAGAGAAATTCTCTCCAAAAGGAAGAAGAAAAAAAAAAGTCAAGACTATTTTTAAAAGTCCAGTGAGATAGCCCAAGGTAATACAGATAAAAACAGTCTCAAAAGATAACAGGCCAAGGAGATGACCGAAGGCTATATAGAGAAACCAGTCTCAAAAAAACAAAACAAAAGGTAGTATTTTTAAAAGGCCAGTGAGATGGCTCAGCAGATAAAGGCACCTGACAAAAAGAGTTCAATCCCCAGGACTTAGATAAAGAGATAGAGCAACTCTGATAAGTTGTCTTCTGACCTCCACATGGCAACTGTAGTATTTGCCCACATTCCCTCCACGCACACAAAATAAATAAAATATAATTCTTAACAATTTAAGCAGGATATTATATAAGCCTTTAACCCCAGTATTTGGGAGGCAAAAAACAGGAGTATCTCTGTGAGTTCTAGGCTAGCCTCTTTAACATGAGTTCCAGAACAGTCACGGCTACATCGAGAGACTCTTTGTCTTGAAAAAATAAAAACTAAATAAAAACTAAAAATAAGTAAATGAATAAACAAATAACAAGGGGGCTGGAGAGGTGGCTCAACAATTAAGAGCACTGGCTGCTCTTCCAGAGGAAGTGAGTTTGGTTCCTAGAACCCAAATCAGGCAGCTCACAACTGTCTTTAACTTCAGCTACAGGAGATCTGGTGCCCTCTTCTGGCCTCTCTAGGATCTACATGCACTACATATACCCTATACAGATGAATAATTTAAAATGATTTGTTTTGTTTTTGTTTTTGAGACAGGGTTTCTCTGTGTAGTCTTGGTTGTTCTGGACTCACTATGTAGACCAGGCTGGCCTTGAACTCACAGAAATCTGCCTGCCTCTGCCTCCCCAAGCGCTGGGATTACAGGCTTAGGCCACCTCATCTGGCACTTTAAAATGATTTTTAAGTTTAAAATAAAAAAGCCAGGCGTGGAGACACATGCCTTTAAACTCAGCACCTGGAAGGCAGAAGCAGGTAGATTTCTATAAGTTCAAGGCCAACCTGATGTACATACAGTTCCAGAACAGCCAGAGCTACATAATGAAACCCTGCAATCAATCAACGAGTAAGTAAATAAAAGTTTAAAAAATAGAAATGTATATACATATAAATATGTATACATGTATGCATGTCACAGCAATTAATGGGGAAAGAGGCCATGAATTTGACAGCAAGGAGTGGCATATGGGAGGGTTTTGGACGAAAGGGAAGGGGGAAATCATGTAACTATATTATAATCTCAAATTTTTTTTAAAAAATTAAAATAAAATAAAATAAATGAAAACAGAAAGAAGAAGTTTCTTACCGTATGGCTTCCTTGTAATGCATCAGTGCTTCCTGCAGCTTGCCCTGCTGTTGCAGAACACTTGCTAAATTGGAATGTGCAGCAGCAAACTCTGGGAAGACCTACAGAGTCACAATCAGAGCTAACATTAAATAGCAGAAAGAGTCTCCCAGTTACCTCCCACAACTCTTGACAACTTTGCAACATACTTCAACTTCTCTCCACCTTTTCCAAGTTTACTCATTCTTCAGGTCTAGTGGCTCTAATTCTACGGCTTCCTCCACTTTATACACAAAGGTGCGGTACGCCTCTCTTCCTGTTATTCATGCTGATTAATGCAGCTTCTTTACTAAATTCCTACCTCACCTACTAATCATTAGACACTGTCCTGAGTTGTTCACTGTACTAGCTTTACTTAGCTTTCTAGTCTTTGTATACATCTCACATATGCGTAAAGTAATGAACTCAATGTAGGGGTGACTGGCATGGCATAGGACCTTACATATATAATGAATGAACCTCTTTAAGAGGTAGAAGACAGCAGCAAAATGGTAGCATACACCTTTAATTCCAGCATGTGGGAGGCAGAAGCAGGTGTGTCTCTGTGATTGAGGCCGGCCTGGTCTACAAAGTGAGTTCCAAGGCAGCCAGTTCTACACAGAGAAACCCTGTTTCAGAAAAAAAAAAAAATGCTTTCTACTGTCACACAGGCTTAGGCTAGACACGCAGATAAAACATACTTCCAATGCTTTGCGATATAGGCGGACTGCCTCTTCAATGTTGCCCTGTTCCCGTTTGATATTGGCGAGGTTATTCAAAGAGTCTGCATGAGTAGGACATAGACGAAGAGCTGTGTTATAACAATCTTCTGCTTCAGCAACCTGGAATATAAAACAAACCATTCAAAAACTACACAGAAATCAGAGAGACCACTGCTTTTCCAGCAATTTAAGTAACTGTATCATTGAACCTAACTGCTGGTAAAAATGGATACTTCTCATTATCCTCCTTCCCACTAACCAAAACTCCAAAATAAGCCAATATAACCAGCTCAATACTTAATAGGTACAAGAAAGACTTTTCTATCACACAACAAAGAAGTAAAAAGAAACTGAAATTCCTTACACTGCCCTTCTCTTTGAGAGCATTTGCTAGGTTACAGTAAGCATCGGGGAAATGTGGCTGCAGTTCTATAGCTCGTCTGTAGGTATCGATGGCCAGGTCTATTAGGCCTTGCTCATAGTACACACAAGCCAGGTTGCCATGTACCACCGCATGATTGGGGCTCAAACTTAAGGCACGAAGATAAGCTGCCACAGCTCTGTGAGAAAAACAAAAACATATAAACATATATACACAAAATGCAACTAATATAAATATATTATTATTAGTGTGTATCAGGTTGGTATAGACCACAGTACATATGTGGAATTTAGAAGACAACTTTGTGAAGTTGGTTCTCTCCCTCATTGTGGGTTCCAGGGATCAAACTCAGGTCATTAGGCTTACACTTTTACCCACTGAGCCATCTTGTCCCCTCCCTGCCCCCCACAGAGTCCAACTAACTTTAATCTTTATTACAATTAACTCCAGACACACTATATTAAAAATGTCAATTAATTTTAATGAATGACAATTAACTTATACTTTGTGTACCAAAATCTCATTTTTTTATAAAATGTATTTTTTTGTGTAGTGTTAAGAACGGAACTTAGGGCCCCATGCATGTTAAAGAAGGGCTCTACCACTGAACAAACTCCATGGCTCTGCATTTTTATTTTGTTTTGTTTTGTTTGAGAAAATATTTTTACTCTGCAGCTTAGGCTGGCCTTATCAACTATGAGCCTTCTTACTTGGCCTCTCAAGTATAGGTATTACAAGTGTAAGGAATTATACACAGGTCCCTGCTATATTTTTTGAGATTGGCTCTTGCTCTATAGACCAGCCTTGGCCTTGAACACACAACAATCCTTCTGCTTCAGCCTCCCAAATTTTCACAGGAAAACACTTACGTATTCCCACTAAAGAAAGACTTTCCTCTGACAACAAAAAAGTTTTCAGTCAAGGACTGGATAGATGGCTCAGCGAATAGCACTGGTTGCTCTTCTAGAGGACTCTGGTTTTAAACCTAGAACCCACTCAGTAACTCCAGTTCTAGAGGATCTGATGCCCACTTCTGACTTCCCAACATGGTTCACAGACATACATAAAGGCAAAACCCATGCACATAAAATAAAATATTCAAGGGGATGGGGAGATGATCGGTGGCTAAGAATGCTTATTATGTAACTATAGGAACCTGAGTTTAGATCTCTGCACCAACCTAACAAGCTAGGTATGGTCATGTACAAGCATATAACCTCAGCACTGGAGAAAGGGTGCTGTAACTGGAGCTCACTGAGGCTTATTGACTGCCAACCGAGCCAAATATGTGAGCCCCAAGAAACTGCCTCAAAGAACTAAAGTGGGGAATGACAAGATAGGGATGGAAACTCAATGTCCTCTTCTAGATCCCCATGTGCCATTCACCTGAACACATGTGTGCATACAACCATACATATGCAAATGCACACAAAATTAGAAAAGCAGATTAGATTTTTCTGTTGTTGTTGTGAAAAACACCAGGGCTGACACCCTCCAAAGTCACCAGGAACTAAGCCATAGGTCATCAATTCCAGAAACAAGGCCATAAAATCCCCTACCCAGAGAACAACATGAGGATAACCACAAGAATGGGAGGGTATCTTATCTCAGGGTAGGGCATCTGTGCTGGGCAGCCCACTGACCTAACATTCCTGAGGTCTATAGATAGCTCACTCAATGTTAGTTATGTTAGTTAGCCAATCTCTCTGTAACACCCTTGCTCTTGCTGAATGCCATCCAATTGTGTAACTGCTAAGCTGGGAATTCCAGGTTCTTGCTCAAACCCCAAATGAAAACCCTGCCATGTAGCTGCTTGGACCTCTTCTCTCTGATCCACAGTGTTGGTGATGGTGGAGAGACTGAGCTTAAGCCTGAATAAAGCTCTTTGCTCTTGCATACTCGGTCCGGCTCCTGAAGGTTTTTGGGAACCTTAAGATCTGGACATAACATTTGTTGTTGGTTTTGGTTTTGATTTTGTTTGTTTCTTTGTTTGTTTTGAAACAAGGTTTCTCTATGTAGCCTTGTCTTGGACTTGTTTTGTAGACCAGGCCGGCCTCAAACTCACAGAAATCCACCTGCCTATGCCTCCCAGAATGCTGGGATTACAGGCATGCACCACCATACTCAGCCTAACATTTAATTCATAATTGTTAAGAAACGAGATTTTACTTTCTTGTCCATTTGGGTTTTTAGGCTCCCAGACACAAGGGATTCTTTGGTCTGGGCTTCCCGAGTATCTAAGACTAGGGAGGCATAGCAGTGTCCTTTGTACCTGGCTCAAGGACTTTTCTTTTTAGATTTTTTCCCTAGCCACACCCAGCTAGAAATGCAGTTTTTTTTAAACAAACAACAAAAACTTAAAAGTCAAGTTTTAACTTGATCTTTCTGACTCAGATCAAAGGAACAATTTAGTCCAAAAGGTACTCATTTCTAACAGTTTTACAATGAAGAAAATTTCAACTGAACTAAGTGGTAGGATAAAAGCATTCTGAAAAACCAAAATGGAAAAGTTATCCAACAACATCTTTAAGCAAAACCTAAGAGCAGACACCATGAGGGAAAACTATACTCTAGAAAAATGTACTTCAGGAAGCTGTTGTCACATTTTAAACCAAACTCTACAAAAACAAGAAAATTAAAAAAGAGAACATTCTCACCTGTCAAAAATGCGTGCCTCTTTCAAGACATTTCCTAAATTGATATAAGCATCCAGAAAATTTGGATCAAGGGTGACAGCCTAAAATTACAAGACAGTTACTTAGATTAACTTCTCATTCTACTTTTATTCTAAAGTCATTTTAGATATCCAATTACATTTTCTAGAATAAAGATGTTTTTAAAAGCATTTCTTGTTTAGTTCCCTCTCATCTATAAGCCTTCATTAACATCAAAGTAACTGGAGGGTGGGACTAGGCTCAGTGACAAAGCACTTGCCCAGCATACTTAAGTAAGGGGTTCCATGTCCTATATCATGAGAAAGGATAAAGCAATAACCTTCTCAAGAACAAAATGGGTCTAATTTAACTGAGCAGAGTATTTATTTTGTTTGTTCTTTGAGACAGGGTCTCACTATGTAGCTCTGGCCACGCTGGCTTCCAATTCACAGAGATTTACCTGCCTCTGCCTCCTAAGTGCTGCCATTAATGGTATGTGCCACCATTGAGAGTATTTCAGTATTCCCTATTTTATTCAGTCATTTTAACTCTTCTAAGAGATACTGGCAGAAACAATCAGTGATCTCTTAATGCAGTATGTTATGTACCTATGTTCCATAAACACAACCTGCAAGTTCTCAGTAAAATATGTAATTAGAGTTATAATATTATGACAGGCACGGCAATATCTATAATCCAAGAAGTTGGGATTCGGAGGCAGACATAAGAGGATGAAGAGTTCAAATTATTCTCTGCTACACAGTGAATTTGAAGGCAGCCTGAGGCTGTATGAAACACTTTTTATGGACAAGCAAATGGAATTCTGGTGCTAGGGATTAGCTGGGTGGTAGAATTCTAGCCTAGTACATCTAAGACCTTAGAAAGATATTCTTCTAGAAAAAGCAAATTTAACTAAAACACTGAAAAGATGAAAGTAAAAAATAATTTCAAGTATTTTAAAGAGTCCTAGAAATACTTCCTCTTTACATAGATAACAAGCCTCTATCAGATAAAGACATGACACATTTGAGGTAAGGTCTAACACTACAGCCAGCCCAGGCTATTCTAGAATTCACTATGTAACCCAGAGTGGTCCAGAACTCAAAACAATCCTCCTGCTTCAGCCTCCCAAGGGCTGAAATTACAAGCATGAACCACACCTGGCCCTTTTATGAAAAAAAATCACAGAAATTTTCAAAAATACACAAAAGCAGAGAAGACAACAAAACCAAGTCTTGGCTCGTCATCTTTAATAATTCATAAATCATATTGGCTTTTATTTAACATGCAGTCCAAACTATTCTCCTTTTTTCCAGATAATTTTGAAGCAAATCTCAAACATCTCATCCCCTTTAAAAATATGGATCCTAGGAAGGCAACAAGAATCCTTTTTCACTCCAACATAATCACACTATCATTATCATACCTTAAAAAAAAAATAAGCTGAGCTGGTGGTACATTCCTTTAATCCCAGCATTTGGGAGGTACTTTTACCCACCGGGCCATCTCATCAGCCCTCTTTTAAACAGCCCTCCTTTAAGACTTTGTTGCTCTTTTGCTATGTGATACAATCTTTCTATACAGCCCAAGTCAGCCTTGAACTCTTAACTTCTCCTGCTGTATGCCCCTGAGTGCTATAATTACTAGCCTGTGCCAACACATACAGATTTTTCTTCATTTTGCTTTTCTTTTTATTCTTCTCAGTCTATTTTGTCAAGTGAAACAAGTTCTCACTATGTTGTCCAAGTTCACTTTGAACTCCTGGGCTCAAGCAGTCAGCAGTTTTGAAATATACAATACATACACATGCAGTCACCATCCAGTATGATAAATAGCTCACTAATTCCACAGTCAACTACAAATGTATAGCCTTTAGCCAATATTTTCCTGCCTCTACATTAACCTCTATTCCCAAAAAAACTTGTTACTCACCTTTCAACTCTTTCTGTGAAAGTGATGCGTGTGAAGGGCATGTGCACACATGTGTTTGATGTAGTAGATATACATGTTTGTGCGTATGTTCACGTATGTGCCAGTGTGTATGTATGTGGATGACATAGGTTGGATCTGCATGCCTTCCTCAATCACCCTCCACCCTATTTTTGAGCCAGAGGCTCTCACCAATTTGGCTAGGCTGGCTGACTGGTCACTGAATTCCAAGGATCCTCCTACCTCTACCTCCTTAGCCTGATACTGAGTTTTTTTAGATTCCACAGCTAAGTGCGATCACATGTTGTATTTGTTCTCCTTGCATTTAAAATAAAGCATGGGCAACAAAAAACAAAACACAAATGCAATCATTTAAAACTACACAGCAAAGAAACAGAGAAATAATTCATGGTGGCTAAAAATACTGCAAACCACACTTCTAAGAAGGGTCTAATAATAATATGTAAGGACCTAAAACAATACAAAATAAGAGAGCAAATAAATTTTAAATTTTAAAAGGGGGCAAAAACTAGTGGTGATATAAATAAAAAAAAATTTCTTTTCTTTTTTCTTAAGATTTATTTACTATGTATACAGTATTCTGCCTACATGCCAGAAGAGAGTACCAGATCTCATTATAGATGGTTGTGAGCCACCATGTGGTTGCTGGAAATTAAACTCAGGACCTTTGGAAAAGCAGCCAGTGCTCTTAACCTCTGAGACACTTCTCCAGCCCATAAAATGACATTTTCAATGACTAACATATACTCTCCGTACAAATCTCAAGATCTACCATATCATATGTCATCTATCAATGTTGCAATTCTGTCAGGGAAACAAAAATATTCCTCAGGCTGGTTAAGCAAATGCCTGTTTTTTCTAGTAAGAACCCTCTATACATATAAACATTTCATAAATATAAATTATTAATGACTAACCTTTTCAAAGTGATGAATTGCCAGCCAAATCTCCCCTTGTGCATTGAAAACACAGCCGAGATTACTCCAAGCTACTGCAAAGTTTGGTTGCGTCTCAATTGCTTTCAAATAACATGCCTTAAGGAGGGTTTAATGAAAGAAGACGAGAGGGGAAAGGAGATAAGGGGAAAGGGGAAAATTTGTAAAGGGAAAACAAAAAAGATTGGGGAGGGGGAAGAAGGTGATATCATTATTTCTTCTCTGACCAGCCAAAAGTGACCCTGCAGCATAGGCTCGCTTGCGCTAAAACTAATGCGCTGCCACAGCTGGCTGCTCCTGCTCCTGCGCCTGCGCCACCAGAACCCAAGTGCAAACCATCATGTTCAGTTCTGGCAACCAAAGAGCAATCTTCATCCTGGGACCCATGTGGAAGGCAGGATGGTGCTAAATACTGATGGTAGTCTTCTCTTATCTGAACACCTATGGACTCTAGAGACTGATGTTCAAGAGAACACATGAAATCTAAGGTCCCCAGCCCACATTTCCCAAAATGTGTTCTGCAAAGTGCTAAGACATCACAGGAAAACCAAAAGCAAAACACCAAAAACAGACAAAAACAAAAACAAACAAAAAAACCCGCCCAGATTTCTTAATTAAATAAAAAAGGAAAATAGAAAACAGGTCTGGTTCTTAAACTGTGTATGGGGGACCAAGCCTATAATCCAAATTCTTGGGAGGGGGAGGCAGGAGGATCATAAATTCAAGCTCATCCTCAACTACAAAGTGAGCTGGAGATGAGACAAGGCAAACAATAACAAAAAGTTTCTTTCCCACAGGACTTCACACCAAGCCTTCAATCTCTCATCACGCATTTTATTAGAAAGCCAAAAAGTTGAAGGGAATGATGCTCATGACAATAATGTTCTTTTTTAAAATCAAAACTAAGCTACTGAGCCATACCAAAAAAATATTTCTGCTAAATCAGTCATTATCATTTAGGCTTTAAGTTTCAGACTCACAACACCCCTCTTTTCTGAGGAGGAAGAAAATAAAACCTCACATGACAGGATTGCACCTAGGTTGAGGTCCCTGTAATGCGAGCGCAAACATCGCTGGCGTCACCTAATACTGCGCAATCGCTGCGAACTGCTGCGCTACGTAGACCACCCCTAGACGCAGCAAACGGCCAACCAGATCCATTAATCTACTAGACAGGCCCGTAGAGAGTATTTGCTTAAGGAGATTACTTGGACTCAAGGTACGTTAAAACCCAATTTTATCCAAAAAGGCTACAGAATAGGGCTGAGTGAGCCAGTCAATCAGATTACTCATCTAGTCAACCGTTCACAGGGGCTCATTTGCACGCAATGCGCATTAACGCTGCGCAGCCTTTGCGCTACTGCAGGGTCACAGCGCATCATCAGAAGAGCAGAATGCTGCAATCCAAACAAAGAAGAAAAAGGAAAAAAAATGAACAACAAGAAGAGTTAGAAGCTTTTACTAGTAAATTATCTAATCATTTAAATATCTTAATTAACTTTTACTTATTTTTGACAGAATTGTGGCTATAGTATAAAACATTCTTTTACATAACTTGCTTGTAAATAAAATTATTTTAAGCTGTTTCTGAAGCCACAAGACAGAAGATTCAGGCATGGAGGCAAATTGTTTTGCTGTGGCAGTTACAAACCCGTTACCATATTTCTCATCATGTGACTTTTCGGTGCGTTCCTTGCTGGAAGAGGAGGAGGAGGTTGTGTGTCTGCCCTAGATCCAGGCCTCGAGCTCCCTTCAGCGAGGCACCTTACGCATGGAATAGGAGGTTTCACCCACCTGAAACCTTCTAAATACAATATCAATGGTGAAAAACCAAAAACAAGAGAGAAAATAAAAACAAGATCATTAGTAAAAGTTCAACAAAGCAATTGAAATTCTTTGGATGTCTATTACATATGGGAATGAGGACAGTCTCAAGTCTGTAACATGGGAAACATGCAGAAGGGAGAGGGTTAATCAGGGCTATTGCATACAGCAGGGAGATTTTGCTGGAAGAAAGGCTCTTTGCTTTCTACAAAGAACTTAATTTTGATTCCATCTACTAGGAATGTATGCTGGCTTGAATCTTCAAATGCACTGATTACAAAAGAAAGACATTGCATTTCACTCAAGAGTATTTTCTGGTTTACTAAGTTCTCACAAAAAAATAAAACAAAAAACAGAATGACATTTTTCAAACTAGGTGTCTCCAGAGCTCTGAAATAAAGAAGTCAGCAACCTAAGGCAGGCGCAACGTCTCAGCCTAAACCGATGTCTAAAGCTGCAGTGAAGTGCAATTCATGTTAGCTGTCCGCTTGGTGGGGTGACAATTGATAGAAGTGTATATTTGTTCTAGAAATCACCAATTGCTTTATCAGCTAAGATTAAAATCAACATAGTTCATCAGCTGGAAACCTACATAAGGTTAATCCACAGTATTGGCAGAATTTATGAGTTATGCACTGAAAGCCAGTGCTTTTTTAACATTAGGTGGTGCTGAAAAGCCTTTTCCCTCCCTGGATGAGCAGTCAAACAGACAGCTACGCTGCGCATACACTCCACGCATTAGCATGCGCGTGGGGCTCAGAGCAACAAGTGGGAGTTTCAGAAGCATTCTGGTTTCTCCCCACTCCTCACCCCTGCAGCGCGGTTGCGTAAGGTGGCTTGTAACAAGACAACTGCATTTATAAATTTAATTGTAAATTATACCAAAAGCTTTAATTAACCCAACCTGGTGTTCAAATTCATTATTTGGAAACACAGAATGCTAAAAGCCACCTTTCCACTTTGGCAAGTTTTCTTTCGATCAGTCCATTTCCCAAACAAACCAGCTTTGTCCTTCTGACTTTTTTTTTTTTTTTTTAAGGAGGTGGGGTGGGGAAGAATAAAAGAAGGAAGTGAGGAAGAAAAAGAAGGTAGACAACTAGGATTAGGGAAAAGAGAGAAAGGAATTTGGGGAGGGAGTGGGGACAAAAGGGGCAGGATGTTCCAATTATTAATTTGCAATATTTTAACAGCCTTTCTTCCACTGTAAAAGGGTGAGGAAGATGAAGGGAGGAAGGTTAAATAAGAATTTTAAATGCCAGTATTACAGGGTAACATTTGGATGAAATTCCTCTCCACTTACAAGCCACAAAGGACTTAGAAGAGCAGCGTTTTCAATGGCACCTGCATCATATAGGCGTCTTGAGCCAAATCACAGGCACTCTGCTTGTCACTAGCAGGCAAGCCTCAGATTTGAAGGAATGTTATTGATTCCTACATAAGATCATGATGGAGCCCATTATTATAAAGATGATCTAGCTCAGCAAAAAGGCTCCACAATCCTTATGGTCTTGCTTTACCCCCAAATTGAGAACAGATATGCCAAAGCCTGATCCTGCTCTAGTCTGAGGCAAGTCATGCTGACAGTTTTCCTCAGTTTTATAGTACTATTTTGTGAAGATAGCTCAATGAGAGTTGAAGACTTGGCAAAAGGTACAGGTTTTCATAACTAATGCTTAAATGTGTTCTAGCAAACACCTACCTTGGCTTCTTCCAAGCGACCCAGGGCTTTGAGCAGGTTCCCCAGGTCACTGCGAACACAGTACAAATCCTAGAAACCCAAGGACAGTATCATTAATTATTCCATTTTCTCATCAAAACTATCCCAACATCATTTCTACAGATCTAGCTCTGTCATTTTATTGTCAATTAAAAGCAGCATTTTGACAAACTTAAGCATATAACTCCTCATCTCCTAATAATTCCCAGAAAATCCAAAAGTAACTTGATGGTGAAAAGCTAACCTGAACTTACGAGACCATACTTACAGAATTTATTTCTCTTGCTTAGTATGAATACTATCTTTAGCTGCACAGATATAAATGTGCTTTGCTATAAACCGCTCCATTCCTGGCTGGGAGATCTGTATATGACACTATTGTCTAACATCCTTTCAAATGCAGTTGGCCTCAATTATATTCAAACACAAGACTGCAAGACCTTTCTAGAGACTCTCTACTCTCCAAATGTAACCCTTTGGAGGAAAAAAATGATTGAATATTTATTCAACTCTTTTATTCAAGGTTATGATGAATCACTCCTGTATCAAGGACCAGAAATTTTCCACAGTGAGGAAAAACAGCACTGCACTTAGCAAGTGATCAACTATCAACAACAAACCTACCCTTTGCCTCTCAGGCTTATTTAGAAACCTTGACTTCATTTCATGCCTAGGCAGAAGGATTACCACTCAACCACACAGCCTCAATCCTGCCACCTGCCACTACATTACTCATTAGTATTAAGTGCCATCAGGGCTGAGTGGGCGAATAATGAAAAGTGGTTGACACTGCTTTTTATTAGCAGCTCAATTGTGTTGCTAGTCCAGTCTGTTCATCCATATGACACACTCAACAGACAGTAAGCTTAAATTTTTATTGCATAGTCTGCTAGTCAGTGGAATTTTTCAGGCAATAACAAGCAGAAATAATGGCAATATGAGGTACGTTTATCATCCTGAACTGTTACATGGGTGAAAGAACCTTAAATTAAATCTTACAAAGTGAAATTTTATCAACTAGTCCAAAGAATTATCATATATTTTGTTCTTCCAGCAACTATGTAATGGGTTCCAGAATTGGTTTGTTTTTACTGATAAAGCTGCTTCTGTACTGTTCATTGTCACCCACTGGATGAACCAAGAAGGCTGCCAATAAGGTAATGGCTAAACTGGGATAATTCCATGATCCACCTGACTTAGTGCTGTCCCTCAAGCAATGACTAATGCTTTGAAAGGCTATAGCTATCTTCTCATGACCTTAAGCACAGGCTGATATTAATCCACAAAGCATCACATATGCCAAGCACAGTAACACACACCTGTAATCCCAGAACTTGGGAAACTGAGGAAAGTGAGGAAAACCATCATGAGTTCAATCAAGCCTGCAGCACCCACTCCAAGTAATATTGTAGTGAGTTTCAGGCCAGCCTATACTACAGGATCAGACTCTGACTTTAAATAGATGAATGAATAACCAACTTAATAAATCAAACAAAAACTCACGGGTACCATTAATCTTATTTTTTTTTGTTTTTTTAAAAATTTATTTATTTAGTATTTATACCGTATTCTGCCAGCATGTACACCTGCAGGCCAGAAGAGGATACCAGAACTCATTATAGATGGTTGTGAGCCACCATGTAGTTGCTGGAAATTTACCTCAGGACCTTTGGAAGAACAGCTAGTGCTCTTAACCTCTGAGCCATCTCTCCAGACCACCATTAATCTTATTACAGACTAATCGACTTCTGTAATTAGTCTAAACATTTTGGAATCCCACTTGCAGTCTGTGAAATACTGACTGCAAATTCTATCATCTTGCTACCTACTTCGTGTAGGTTTCCTCCTTTGAACCAAAAGGGTAACCCTCTGCTTGGCAGGTTATGGCTAAATACCCCTTCCAATCTGCTTACACAAGTTCCTTCTACTACTTCTTACTGGGTGATATGTATCTTTAGACTTTCACCAATCTCTATAGCTGTTCTGAACCATAAAAATCAGAAATACTACAATAAGTAACTAATGACTGTACTTTTAAAAGATTCATTCATTCATTCATTCATTTTCTATACAACATTCTGTCTGCAAGCATGCCGGAAGAGGGCACAAGACCTCAGTATAGATGGTTGTGAGCCACCATGTGGTTGCTGGGAATTGAACTCTGGACCTCTGGAAGAGCAGCGAGTGCTCTTAACCTCTGAGTCACCACTCCAGCTCAAAAGATTTATTCTTTTAGTTATGAATATGGGATGTGCATATCAGTGCAGGTATCCTCAGAGGCTAGAGGTGTTGGTTTCTCCTGCAGCTGGAGTTACAGATGGCTGTGAACCACCTGACATGTGTGCTGGAATAAGAAATTCGCTCCCCTAGAAGAGCAGTATATGCTCTTAACCACTGAGCCATCTCTCTAGTCCCATCTATATATTTTTACCCACTGTTACATAATTTTACCAGCTAGTTTCTATAAACTCATAGATGGATCATATTCTATATTTAGTTGTATCATCTACATTCATCACAGCATAGTACAACAAAAATAGATTTTATGGACTAGCAATGTAAGTCAGTTGGTAGAAAAATTACCTAGTATGCCAAAGACCCTCCAGAACTGTAAAAAGATGATGAGAATGAATATAAATACTGTCCAGAATACATTAAACTAATGAGTCCACTTTAGGAAAAGGCAAAACATGTCCTGTTAAGTAGAACAGAGTGGCTGAGAGTAGAGCTCTAGGGCAGAACATTTCCCTGGTATTCAAGGGTCTGGGTTTTATCCCTAGTATCACAAATACAAATAAAACAACTATCTTCAGCTCGCATGGTGGCACACGTCAATAATCCTAGCACTTGGGAAGTTGGAGCAGGATAATCATGAATTCAAGGTCACTCTCAGCTATATAGTCAGGTCAAGGCCAGCCTATACTATGTGAGAATCTCTCTCAAAAACACCAAAATAGGACTGGACAGATGGGTCAGTGATTAATCGCACATGTTCTCTTCGGGGAACCTGAATTCAATTCTTAGTACCCTTATAAGGCAGCTGTAAATTGTCTATAACTACAGCTCCAGGGTATCTGAAACAGTATACCTTCTTCCAGCCTCCAAGAGCACTAAAGTCATGTGCACGGATACAGCACACACACACACACACACACACACACACACACACCACTATTTTACAAACCAAAACAATAAACACATGAAATCTGAAATCCAAATGCACACACATACACACGAATACTTAATGTCTACAAAATACAAGAATGTTAAAATTCTCCAAAAAAAAAAAGTCCATTCAAAACCCTGTATCAAACTCTGCTTCATCTGTCAAATCAATATAGTATCTGCTAAGAGAATCACTTTGCTTAAACCTGGCTCATTCTGTCCATCGCTAGCTAATATCTTTCATGAAAACCTTGAATTAATAATACATCTAAAACCAAGGAAAATACATTAGACACACTCAACGGAGAGATTTAATCTAGGCCTTCAGAGCAGGGTAGAGACTTAAAGGAATAGGGCATCAAAAAACAAGGAAAAACATTATAAAGGTAAGGAATCAGAAAAAAGATGTTCCTATGTAACAATCCCTCCCTACTATAACAACTGCTTCCCAACTTTCCTTTTAAATTTCCACCTTTAGACCCCTTAACATCCCTCTACATACGTACACATTGAGGAAAATCAGACTGATAAAAACCTACAGTGGTTCTCAACTGCCTCTCAAATTAAATTCAAACTCCACAGCCTCTATTCTTTTGAAATCTTCCAATTGACTCTGCTCTACTGCACTCACTTGTTACTACTTGACTTGCCACTTCAGCCTGCTAAGTCTACTTGCTGTTTACCTTCCTACAGAATGCTTAGGTTCTAAGCACCCTCTCAAACAAATCTTCTGATTAATACTCTCCAGCAATGATCACCCAAGGAGCATACATCTTTTATTCTCCCTTTATGGGTCAGGTCTGTCTCACATGATAACCCCTCTAGAACACATTCCGCAATTCCTCACCAAGCATCATACACAACAATAAGCACTTGACTATTTAAATGCAACCCTTGCCAAACAACCTTACCAGAAGCAGAGTGGAGGGAAATAGAAAAAGGTTTTCTCACCAGGCAGCTGTCTGGGACTCTTTGCAGCAACAAAATCAACAAGACAGTAACACAGACTGGGATGGCAGCAGCTATCAGCACTGTGTATCTCACATCACAACAGAAACATCTCAACAACTTACACAACAGAGCAGCTCAAGCTCATAGCTATCACACAAAGGAGAATTGTATGCATGATTTGTAAAGGAATTGTCGAGTATGAGCAATTCTACTGTGCTAACCAAAGAAAGATCACCAGAAGAAACAGCACCTTAAAATATGACAAGCTAAAGTTTCAGCAAATGGATTATGCCATAGAACATTGCAAAAGTCAGCTCCAAATATAAATATATGCAACAGATCTACTCAAAACTTGTATAACCAAGTCACAGACTAAGTTTTAAATTGTCTTATCTATAAACTTACAAGAGATGCACTGCTGAAAACCACTAAACGAACCTAACGTTTTCATTTTTCACTGCTAAAAAAAAAAAAAAATAACCTGAGTTTCTTTAACTAATTTTCAGACTGCCAACTGCACCTACGATTCTAGCTCATGCTAGAGTAGCAATTCATACATCACAAAGAACACATTGTATGAGGCAGACTCAAAACACAGGCAGCACTGAATCAACAGGCATTTGACAGAAAGTTTCATCTAGTTAGGATTAGATATCCTGAAAACTTACAACACAACCACTGTGGTGTATTTAGGTAAAATTGAGAGTTCACACAATCCCACTTTCATTCTTACTGTTAAGAACAGAGAAATAAAGAAGCATCCCTCTCTACAAGAAACAGGTAGACAGGGACCCACCAATGCCAACAAGAAGTAAACTCAAGATTGATTTTAGTGCTACCTTGCTTCTTTGGAAGGACATGATGCTAAGTTTCCTGTTACTAGGTAAGATATTTAATAATATAAACTATACATAGCCTATATTTAGAAAGTAGGATAGTTTGTCTCTCACGCTTTTTTTCCCTTCTCAATATAATCCTGTGGTTTAGCGAAGTTAACTGTTTTGCTACACAAACAAACAACTAAAAACCTGAGCTAAGCCAGGCACCTGTGCTAATCCCAGCACTCAGGGTGGTAGAAGCAGGGGATCTTTTCGAGTTCCAGGCCAGCCAGGTCTAAGTCTTAAAATACAAAAACAACAACAAAAAGAATCAATGAATACTTGGAGGTGGGCTGGGGGGCAGCAGCAGCAACACACTTTTAATCTCAGCACTTGGGAGGTAGAGGCAGGTGGATCTTGTGAGGCCAGCCTGGTCTACAGAGCTGAGTCCCAGGACAGCCAAGGCTACACAAAGAAACTCTGTCTTCAAACAAACAAAAAACCAATGAATAAAAATCATTATACTGAACCCACAAATAAAAGCACCATGAAACTAAACTAAGGTAGCTATTCCAATGAACACTTGCCCAGCCTCAAACTCTATACATATCAAAGAAAACAGCCATCCCACACAGTGATTTGTATCTTTAAAAAAATAAAAACAGAAACTTACACATTTTCAAAATTAACTTTAAAAAATAGTTGTTAAAAAGACATTAAGATGAAAAATGATCACAGAGTTCTGGCAAATTAGTAAAATAAGCTTAAGTTTTCTAAACTATAAAATTGGAGTCAAGAGGCAGGCTGATATTCTGGTCTCCAGGTTGTGCTAAAGGGCTGCCTTCGGGCTCAGAAGGCTCTTTTTCTCTTTCATTTCTTGTTCATGTCAACATTTGCTTCAATAACTTCAAGTTTCAACATCTCCTTCACCATTGCTTACTAGCTACATGATCTCAAGAAAGTTACATAAGCTTGAGTCTATTGAGATTTTTATTATTGGTAAAACTAGAAATAGTGCCACCCTCATCAAAGAATCATGGTAAAGATTCAAAAAGATATTTATCTGAAGTAGCAGGGTGTGAGCTTGTACAAAACTTTTGATAATGGCAGCTGTACCAATTATTAAGCACTTCCCAGGGTGATTCAAAACCCATGTAGCTCAAATATATGCTGATGCTGCCAGGACCCATGCCTCATCCCTACATTCCCTACCACTTACTTCTTAAAGGTTTACAGCCACTTTCCCTCTATCACATCAACAGTTTCAAGAGCAAGCTCTACATCCCTGCATCTTTAAATTTTTATTTGTTTGTTTCACACAAACAAATATAATTTGATCTTTCACAGACTCTAATACAGTATGACCTTGACGTCCGTCAACCAAGATACACTTGCTCCCTGAAAACTCATGCAACTTAGATTTAAAAAGAAATGAAGAACAATGCCAAGTCCGGTCTGGACCTGCATGCAACTGCCTTAATTCTACTATTCTAACTATACTGGGAAAATACTGAGAACGTTTTGTAATCTAGTATTCATCTCACTAATATACTAGCTCCTTTTAAAAAACCATTTTATATTATATATTAAGGCCATTTACCAAGTGTTCCTTAAAAAAGAACTGCTGCAAATATCCATCAGAATTTATCCCAAGTTCATTAAAATAGCACAAAAAAACTATCGTGAGTCTTAAGTTTAATTAGCATTACAAAAAAATTGATAAAAATTTTTGTAAGAATTTTTATGCATTTTTAGCTTCCTAAATAGGATGGACTTTTTTTGAATGTTACACAGACCAAATCAAAGCAAATTCATCATTTGAAGTGCAACAACATCTCTCAACTCTTGACTTTCTTTCATGAAAAAAACTATTGTTTAAATTAACAAGCAACGCGTGTTTGTTTTCCGGATTGCTATGAAGGGAAAAAAACTGATATACTTTTACTTACAGGATTGTACTGAAGAGCAGAGACGTACGCTTGCACTGCTCCTTCCATGTCACCTGCTGCTACCAAGGCTGCTGCCAGGTTAATATATCCATCAATGAAATCAGGCTTGAGCCTCAAGGCATGACGATAATGCTCAATTGCTTCCTGCAACTGCCCTCTTTCTTTGTATACATTTCCCAAATTCGAATAGGCTTCTGCTAGAAGAGGATTCTGTTTAATTGCCAAGGTGCTAAAGTGAGCAGATCTGGAAAAGTGGAAAGTGTTGATGCATGGATAGGCATGTTAGAGAAAATGAGGCATGGCTCATATGCAACTGTTAACAGTTCCCAAAAAATCCTGTGATACAGAACATTATCCTTTAGCTAGCACACAGCAGGAAAAAAGTGTGAAAACTCAAACTTTTTTAAGATGAGAGTATCCAGATTTCATATAGGAAAGCTAGTTCTTATGCAAGAACATTTATATTAAACTCTATTACCAAACTGTCGCATCATATAACATGATCATTAAGATAAAGAATAAAAATGCTAGGTGCATGAGTCTCATTTTCCATTTGTTGGCAAGATTTAATGACACGCGTCGTCAACTGCCTAAATGTGCCAAAATGATAATTTACTAAAAGATTCACAGCACAAATTCTTCTCTTTTTCGATTAATTCAAGAGATTAGCTAAAAGCGGCAACAATTTGATTAGAGTATTTCCAACCTGAACATACATTCTCCTACCACAGAATTCCTCAAGCTGACAGGTATGGATGCTCAGATGTACACTAAAAATAATTACCTGAAAAGAATTAATAAAGCAGCAGCCCCAAGTAATATAATCTAGGGAAAAAAAACCCTAGTCATACTGATAATATGCTCACCCCCACAAAACAGGGGGAAAAAACTAGCAGCTAAGCATGTCAGAAGTGAGCAAAAGAGCACATGTGCAGTGGTGGCTCAGATGAACCCAGCGCTGGAAAACTCAAGTTCAAATATTTAATTATTTTTAAGCTTAGCACCCAGAGGCAGGTTACCCAATTATCTCCTACCTGTCCAGCCTTCGACACTGGAAGTGTATAGATGAAAGTAATAAAAGGACACCAGTATTGTCAGGCTCTTGTCTCCAGAGCTGCATGCAGTGTCTTTCAGCTGCCTCAAAATCTCCTGCCTGATATTCTCGATGTGCCAACTCAGCTAACCCTTGGAAGGAAAGCATACGTTTCGTTGGTTCTGGAGAATCATCAAAACATTTGAGGGAAGGGGGGGGAACAAAAAGTTAGAAATGCAAACCAAAAAATGTAAAAATATGGTAAATTAAACTTAAAAGATGAAAATGCTTGAAATTATGTAAAGCATTAGAGTGTTCTGCTTATTATTTTAAATCCCAGTCTACAGAATTGATCTCCTTTAAATTTGCCCATTATTAATGCTTCCTATTCTAAACAACACAGTGACATTTACTTCCAAATGAGATTTTTTTTTTATTTTGAACGTTGAAATTATAAATCATAGGTAGATTCACTAAACTCACTAAACTAAGTTACTATACGGACTCAAACCATTAAACATGAAATCTGAAAGAGTTACAAGGATTTATTATCAGAATAACCTAGTTTTAACAATACTTCATCCAACATTTCAGGTTGAGTTTGCAGGGGTTGAAGTATTGTAACATTCTTCTAAGTGTGGGGTCGGTACACCAGGTGTCTCTTTTATTCTTTATGTTTATGTTTGTGAGTTTTACAGCCTGATTTTTTGAAAGAGCCAGCCTAAGAAAAACAACTTTTAAAGCAGCTGATTAACAAGATGATCTATCTATCAGTCAAGGGCTAAAGCATTTAATGGGTTCAAACATTTTAAACAAAGACCCCAGTGTTGTTCTCTACTGAAGACTTACAAGGAGACCAAATCAGCTAAATCCCACCCACACTGCCTTAGCGCTAACATTTTCTGCTATGTTCATGACTTTCACTGAAGGATTAAAACATTAAAAACAACTCTCTAGTCAATAACTAGGCAACAATCTACAATTAGAATACCTTTAAAATGCTGCAATATAAAACAATGCATGAAATATAACATAATAAATTACAAAAAAATGCTTTTATTCCGTGGTACCTGGTTTAGATAACATAAAAAAAAAAAAACAAAATTCAGGTGCATGCCTAAGACTCAGCTGTAAACATTTTCTCCACAGTAATACATTATTAGTTCAACCGTAACACTCTCCAGTCTGGATGCTTAGTCTGGGAAACCAGACTTAGTACTCAATTTTACCAAGGTCATGGGAACAAGCTCAAATTTGAGCCAAGCCTCCCCCATACCAGAGCTCTGAATACTCCAGAAAGCAATTTCCTGACAGAATGTACAGCTGACCACAAAAACAAAGACCAGAAAGATGTGTCCAAATCTGAGGTTGAAGCTGGACGATAAACTAGAAAATTGCATTTCAGACAAGAACATAGCACTTTTAGCTCCTAAATTTAGCACTTTGCTTGTCACTTTTCAAAGTTGCTTATCTGCTCTTTTAATACTGGAAATGACCATGTCCTCAAATAAAGATAACAGTCAGAAAAGGGTAAGTTTTAACACATCTTTGAAAATCTCAGTGGAGAAATGGGGAGGTGGAGATCGGACTAATTATTAATCCCACTCCCGTCAAATCATGGATGAGTTACTCTTGAAGATTCATCTATTATTTTCCCAATATCCAAAACCAGCAACTAAAACCTTGACACACCACAACTGTGAAACAACAAAAAACAATAACCTCTTGGAAATCTTAGAACCGCAGCCAGGTTCCCCACTCTCTCCCGCCCCAAATAGCCTCAATCTGGAAAGGCAGTTGAAGGACACTCCTATAATTTGGTTGTTTTCTTATTTTCAGTAGAAGGCTCAGGAATGAATTGTCGAAAAGGGGCAATAGCTTTGCACTTGTGCACCTACACTCCAGTTGCTTTACAAACTCTTCAAGCAAAAATGGAAACTTTAAAAAAAAACAAAACTATGAATAAAGAGATATTGGGCTAAAGAATGGGTATGAAAACCCAGAGGAGGCGGCGGAGGAATACACTGAGAAAGTAAAACAAAGAGAGAATTGGGAGGGCGGGATGGTCAATGCCAAGCAATGCAACGAGGTGGTTTCTCCCCCAAGGATAGGAAACGACAGTTGGGCTGGCACACTCACAGAGGAAGGGTGTGGTTGCCACAAGCGGGGAGGGCCGGCGGGGTGGGAAACTCAGGACGGGGGTAGCGGATGCAGTTGGGCGATGGCTACGAGAACCCTTGGAAATTTCCAATCTAAACTGGGCCATTCAACCAAAGAACACCACAAGCCGCTGACCGGCGGGATCCCCTCTTCAGGCTACTTGGAAGCACATCGACGAGCTTTCGCTAGTCTTTACCTGATCAAAGTGAGGCTAGGATTCCATCGAAATAGCACCCCCGCCCCAGACTGGCAGAAAAGGACCAAATCTGGCCAACGGAAAGGGGCTTGGGGAGAAGGTGGAAGCGCACGGGTGGGAGCGACAAGCTGGAATTGAGGGAGAAAGCAGCTGCGATGGAGACAGAGAGAACAGAGATTCCAATACAGTCCATTCCAAGAAGAGTCCCAAAAGAGAAGACTAGTACATTGATGGGATTAAATAACAACGAAAAATCCCCCAAAGCAAGCAAATGTAAGCAAGCAAAATGTAAGCAAGCAACTAGGGAATATTTACCGAACGGACGACAGCACCAAACCCGATCAGATGGCAGAACTCGAGAGCTTAGCAATGCCACTGATGTAATGGGGATGGTTAGAGGGAAAGGAGTGATGAGAAATACAAAGCGGCGCCAGACCCCAAAGGGATGTCTGCCTAAGAAGAACGGGACACTGGTACCTGTGCTGTCGGCCACGTTGCCCACGGAAGACGCCATCTGGAGCTTCTCGAGATAGAACAAGAAGGGGGGTAACTGACTTCTAAGGCCGCCACTACTGGCGAGAACGTTTCTATAGATAGTAGAAAAGGGGCAGCAGCCGTATCACGGTTTTGGAAGGCTTAAGGGGAGGCAGAAGATACTAGACTCGAATCTTAAGAACTCTTGTTAAGACATCTACCTCTCACTGTCTTGAAATGGCGGCGACGGCTCCCCGAAAGAAACAACACAGGCCGGAACTACTTTCTGTTACAATCAAGTACCCCGCGGAGGTAGTCCGTAACCACACTATGACAAAATGACTGTAATCAAAGTCACTTGTTCTTACGTAACCTTCCGCCTAAGGTCCATTGCGACAAACATGACTATAGAGAGCGCATGCGACAACCCTGTCAAGGCAACTCCGTGTTAAGGGCACCCAGTGGGGCAAGAGCCCACAAGTTTTTAAGAGCTAGGCGGAAGGGCATAAAATGCTCGTCGATTACTTTTTTTTTTTTTTTTTGGCAAGTGCTAAAGTAGGCGTCTATTACCTGGTCAATAGTGTAGAGGTTAGTAGGAATGTTAGAGACGTCTATAAAAGTTTAATCAACTCCGTTCATAAGAAATAGGTAGTTTACATGGCCAGCGTGTTAGTTCTAAGCTAGTAAATGCGAATGTTTCAGAGACGGAACAGTTTCAAAGGATGGGAGAGCCGGTTCCGATTTGAATGCTTTTTGATTCGGACTCCACCCATGAATTCAACTATTTTGATGAGAAACACTGATACTTTTCACGAGCTGAGTGAACCCAAACGTGTCCGATTTGAACCTTATAGTCCGAAAATTCAAAATCGTTGTGCTATTTGGCAGAGTAAGTCTACGGTAACGGTAAATGCTCAGTTATTCAGGGACTTGCTGAGTTCGCATGCCAAAAGCAACCCTAAAAATGTTAAAGATGATTCGTTTTCATCAAAATTCCTGATTCTGAGTTGTGATTTCGTTTCGCCAAACGGCTCTGCAAATCGTTAAGGTCCGCGAATGCCATTAAACTTAAAAGGCAATTCAACAAAGCTAACTAAGTTCATTTGCCATCTGCCTAAACCACACATCTGCATTGAATTCCGAATTGCCTTCCTTTGACAAAACAACTCTTAGGACCGTCTTGGGATTTCAAGTCCGTCTTTCGGACATTTTTTTTTTTGTCACATTATTATTAATTTATAGCTCCTGCTTTGTTCTTAGATATTTTTAAGATAACTTTTCAAAACAGCAAGAGATTATTACAAGCCACAGGAAACTGCAGTTGTATCTCTTAGAACCTTTTTGTTTCAAAAATACTTTGATTCAGGAAAAAAAAAATCAGTGAGCTTCAGGAAAAAAAAAATGTTTGCTGTCTAGCCCCTTGGCAACATGAGATATTAAAAAAAAAAAATCCTCAAATGCTGCTCCAGTTTCTTGGAATCACTGAACAGTGAACTAAGGATATGAGTGCAAAGAGAGTTGATAATATCAATTTCTTCTGCCTCATAGAATCACCACACGTAATGAAAAGGAAAGTTCACCACACAACTGTCCCAGGCACCAATCTTTTCATTTGATATACCTGGCAAGCCCCTCCCCCATCAAGTGTGCCACCTTTGGTGAATGCACTCAGCTTTTCTGCTTTAAGAACAGGGAGCTCAGTCTAACCAAGCCACAGAGGAAGACAATGAAGACAGTCCTGATGAGTCCTGATAGGCTAGGGTCAGATGGAAGGGGAGGAGACCTCCCTATCAGTGGACTGGGGAAAGGGCATGGGAGAAGAAGAGGGAGGCAGGGTGGGATTAGGAGGGAATGGGGGAGGGGGCTACAGCTAGTATACAAAGTGAACAAACTGTAATTAATTGTAATAAATAAAAATAAAAAAGACAAATAAATAAAAGTGAAGAAATTGTAGAAACCAAAAGAAAAAGAAAAAGAACAGGTGTCCCAGAGTCTACTAGCAGATGTTTAGGCCCTTTTGATTAGTGCTGATAGTTAATTAAGTAAACTTGTTAAATGTCAGTTCATGCTTCCAGCCCAAAAGCTATTTGATTCATAGAAAACCAGACGGGGGTTCTCTCATCTGGGAGAGGCGTCTTGAGGCTTTTATTAGACATTTAGCTGCTATGAAAAATCGGACTGTGACGCTCATGTAGCTTAGCATGGAAAACATCAAAGAATCGATTCCAGGAGCTTTCCAATAATAGCACCTTGGAGGTTTGGTTCCAGGGACTTAACAGGAAAAGCATACCTTCTTTAGCCAATAAAGTAATATTTACTAAAATCTCTGTATGCAAGGCACTGTGGGAAACATAAAATGGAAAAGACAAAATCTTTGCCCTCAAGGAACTTTAAGTTTCATTAGTTAGACCCAAAAGGTCACTAAAGAATAATACTGAGGATTATTTTAATGAAGTACATTTGACTCTAATGTCTGGAAAGGTAACCTCAGACTAGAGGGGAGGTCAGAGGATGAAGGTTAGTTAGTGCTGGACATTTCCTGGAGGGTCGTGCTTTTGGGTTCCTCTCACTTTTTTCTTTTCTGGTTACTCCCCCGACCCCTATCTTCTTTTTTTTATGCAGCAATTCTAAATTTGGAGTCATTTGTAAAATATGTCAACTGCTTCAATTCTTATTCCAGCCTCTGCTGCTGTAACATCTTTGATGGTGTATTGCCTTATTATCCCTTGTAACACCCCAGAAATCTATTGACTTAAGCTCACTTTTTGCAGCAATACCATGAGCACTGGAGGAGGAAGCCAAGAGATGCGCACCCAGTTGCAGTCACTGGAAGACTGTTTCATAAGTTAAATGAAGCTGAACAAAATGCATTGGCAGCACCCCAGCCTCTCCAGATGTGTGAGGATACTATTCTAGAGCCCCTTGGATTTGGTTACAATGAAGAAAACTGGTCTTGAAACCTTCCAAAAAGAAAAAAAAAAAAAAACTTCCAGAAATCTTTCTTTAATATATTTACTGTTATGTGTGTGAATGATGTGTGTAGGCAAGTGTGCCACACTGTGCATGCGATGTGTGTGGAAGTCAAAAGGAAAACGTTGCGGAATTCTCCACACGTTTGGGGATTGAACTCAGGCCACCAGGCTTGTACAGCAAGCATCTTTACCCACTGAACCATCTCACTGACTTCACCTATTTTTTTTTTAATTGGCATAAGATTAAAGAAAAACGAACTGATTTTCTGGAAGTGTAACCATCATTAAGCAATGAATTTTGGAAATTACAATTTCTTATTTGGTGGCTGCAGTGTTGAACACAGTACCAGCTGGAAAAATAACAGTGAAAAGAGGGGAAAAAAACACAGCTGTAACTGTGAAAGCCTTATGGATCTATTATGAAAGGTAACTTTCCGCAGAACAAAAGCAGAGAAACCTGGGGAAGGCGCCCTCCTGAGTTCTGCCTAGGGAGGCACTTTTCCTCTACTGCACCAGTAGTCTTTAAAGATGCGAGAACAATAAAGACACCAGGGTTCAAAAACCAATTAGGTCCACTTACCTCTTTAAACATCACTTGGTTTCTTGACCTATAAACTCTATAAAAATGCACATCAAAAAGAAAGCAATTCTGAACCTTATCTTGGTCCTTCAGGCCTAGAATCCCAGCTCTTGGGAGGTTGAGGTGTTGCTCCTGCCTCCACGTAGGGCTACTTCAATGTATTAAAAAAAAAAAAAAAAAAAAAAGGAACAAAAAGTGAAAGATCAAAACCTTGGTTCACCCTACCTATCTAGGTCTACCAATTAACATTGTTCCAAAAAGATATTCACAGTCTACAGCCTGAGCTGTTTGCAAAGAGGAAAAAAAAAACTAAATACATAAATCCACTGAAGAGCTCAGAATTTCAAAATAGAGACATGCATCTTCTCCTTATGGCTATGTGCCTGTGGTACTATTTTCTGTGCTTATAAGATAAGAGACTATTGTCTGCTCAGTTCTCTTTCTGATTCCTTTCAAGTGGGAGCAAACTCTTCCTTAAGAAGAGAATCGTGATATATTTATTGGCACCAACAAGACTTTCATTGCAGAGCCCTGGCATGAGTCATGCCATCCCACTGGTTTACCCATTGCTACCTCCAAAGTAGAATAATCAAACCCAAAGGAGCTCTGCGGGTTCTCCAGCCCAGAGTCTGTGTGTCTGAAAGTGTGTTCGATCCTTTTGATTTTGATCCTGACTCTTTTCCTGTAGTTTCAGTGGAGAGTGGTGATCATATGACACGAGACACCTTCCAGAGGGGCTTTCAGAAAATAAGGATGATAGTGGGTACAAATCACACTAGAAAATTAAAAGGACAATAGCACAGGTGCTAGATAGTTCTGTTGTTGTTCTTTCTGTGTGTCTCTGATGACCCTTATTTTTTAAGCTTGAGCTTTCCTGTCCATGGTAAACACTTCACAGTAGAATAGAACACTCAAGGGCAGATTTGGCTTTTATGAACAACCAGATGCAGAGGACAATTGGTTGATCTAATTGAGCATTCAACAAGGCGCTCTGGAAATAGAGCTTTTTGTTATTCAAGATCTACTTCATCTGAATGTGCAATTTCCTCTGTTAGATTGACCAATCCAATTATTACCACTGTTCATGTGCCATTTGCATTATGTCACCACATCCTAATAGACTTATTTCCAAAACTGCCTTACCAAAATGAAAGATTTTCTAGCATTGCTGAGAGATTACGAAAACACTGCACCTTGTACTTTGTGATCAAGAAAAAGAATTTAAAGCACAGTTAAAAAATTTTCAGTGCTATAAAAATCCTTTGCTGCTGTAACTGTTTCAGCTATATTTGTGAGAATTTAATCAATTTCTCGAAAGACACATTGCCTTAATGTTGATTTAGGTCTTTGGGGTTTTTTGTTTTTTTTTTTTTTTGTGTGTTTTGAGACAAGGTCTCTCAATGCAACTTTTGTTTTCTTGGAACTTACTCTGTAGATCCAAGCTGGCCTTGAACTCACAGAGATCCACGTGCCTCTGTCTTCTGAGCGCTGGGGTTAAAGATGTGTGCCACTGTACCCAGCCAACTGCTTTGTTTCTTTAAGAAGGAAAGTCTTATGGTGTAATAGAAGTATGAAATGGCATTCATGAACATGCAAAACAAGCAATATGGATCACCAGATTCTCTTTTATCCAGCCTCCTAGTCCTTTGATCCTCCACCATGATTTTTTTTATTCATTGAAAGCCCATTTCATGGATAT